CGCGAGATCGTGACCTGGCTGAAGTCGGACGCTTAACCGACTGCGCCACCCAGGCGCCCCATCTGGTTTATTTTTAATGTCTTCTTTAGTTTTGAGCGGGGTGGCACAAATGGGGGAGGGGCCAGAGGATCCCAAGCAGGGCCCGTGCTGACAGCAGAGAGCCAGACACAGGGCTCAAACTCGTGAGCCGTGAGATCGTGACCTGAGCCGAAACCAAGGGTCAGCTACTTAGCCGACGGAGCCCCCCAGGCGCCCCTGTCCACCCGTTTTTACTCCAACGCTTCTGACACCTAGTATGTGGGGTCCCCTCCCTCCCAGACAACCTGTTCTCTGGCTCCCGGACACCGGCGGGAGATCCTACAATTCAGACCCCCTGGAGTTGCCCCGTGGGACTGCCCCCCTCCAGACACCAGCTACAACAGCCCCCACAACCCCCCGTTTCAGTTTGCTGGAACTCTGGAAAACATTTCCCTCGCCATCACCTGTTTAACGGGTACAGGTAGCTGCCGATCGGAGGCATGCAGGCCGAGGTCTGGGAGGACGGCGGGCCCCGGACCTCCCGGCCCCGTGCAGTTGGGGCGCGCCACCCTGGACCCTGTCGGTAGGCGCTTTCCCGGAGGCCTCGCTGCACTGGCGTGGTTGGCGGTGTCCTGGGCCGAGGTGCTGGACTCGGTCTCCCGTCCCCACCCGCAGCGGGGCTGGGGCTGGGCGGCCCCCGACCCGCGCCCGGTCTTGCGCAGCCGCAGGCCGAAGCCCTTAGACGCACCCCACTCCCCTCAGTAGTGCACAGAGCACACTTGTGTCACCCCTAAATCCAAGGGTTTTAGGAGCTGTGTGCCAAGACCCAGAGACAAAGGCCCGGTACTTTTTTATCACGTCATAGCCGGGAGTTACGATTACCCTGGACACCGCGTGGAGCATGTCACGTACATGAACGTCATCTGTCACGCGTCTATCTCCGGAGGGAGAAGCCGAGGCGACCGACCTAAGGGGCCAGGGACACAGCCCCGAGCAGGGGCCTCCCGGCTGGACGGGGGGCCGGTGTGGCGGACGGCGTCCCAGGGGGGAGGAGGCCCCGGGCCCTGGACGTGTCCGCCCGTGTCCCGTGTGGCTGGGCGGCCACGCCATCCTGAGCGTCTTGGGGAAGGCGTTGGTGACCTTGTGCATGGGAGTCCCGGGCTGCCACAAACTCAGCAGTGGAGCCCACAGCTCCGGAGGCCAGCGGGCAGCATGGGCCTCACGGGCCACGGTCTGGGTGGGGGCAGGCTGGTCCCTCCCGGGGCCCTGGGAGCTCGGCTTCCTTGCCTTTCAGGCTCCTAGACAGAGGCTTCGAGTGCTTGGCTGGTGGCCCTGCCTCCACGGCCAAGGCCAGCAGCGTCTCCCTGTGACCGGGACCCTCTTGGCCCCCCGTATGACCGCGGGCCTGGTGAGGCTGGCTGCTCACTGCCCTCCAGCGGGACTCTGGGGTCCCTCCCCCGAGGCCCCATCCCACGACCCGCTCCCGCCCCCGAAAGGCCCCGAGTTCTCACACCTTCACCTTGGGGCGACTGTGGGGGACACACCCCCGGCCCACAGAGGAACCCTGTGCCCAGGCCCACCAGGGAAACCCGGGACAGTCCCCCACCTCGAGGTCCTGAACCTAGTGCCGTCCACGAAGCCCCTCTTGCCCCGCTGGGCAGCACATCCACGGGTTCTGCCAGGTAGGACGTGGGCATCCTGGGGGGCAGGTTCAGCCCACTGCACTACTTCACTGGCGAGGAGCCCAGAGGATGCGGCCTGCCTGTCGGCTGTGTCTAGGAGCAAGGCCGGGGGGGGGGGGGGGGGGGGGGGGGGGGTCAGACGATCCTGAAGGCAGGCAGGAGCCCTGGAGGGCAGGCGTGGGTCCTGGAGAGGAAGCCAGGGCTTTCATGGAGAGGCGGCGATCTGCAGGTGGCCGGGAGGCCTGCTCAGGCAGATCCGTCAATGGATCGGTCATTCCACTTTCGGGCCTGCACCCAGGCCTAAATACCTCAGTGACCTTGAGGCAGCGGCGGGGGCTGAGCAGCTGCCCTGGTCGAGCCCAGGGATGTGTCTCACCACGGAAGCTGAAATGCCATCAGAACATCCCGAGCGCCCAGCCCTCGGTTTTGCTTTATTTTGACCCATTCTCAACGCGTTCAAAAGAAAAAAAGCCAAGAGGCTGGCTATTTTGCCCAACAAAAATTCTCTTTGTAACAAAATCTTCCTTCCGGACCGCGGGATGGGAATGTGCCACGTGAACCCGTGGGCCCGACCGCGAGCGGCGTGGATACCTAGGCGGCGCCAGGGCCACCGATGTGTTGGGACTCCCTGCGTTTGTGTCACAGAAAAGGGCGTTTTGGATGGGATCAACGGAAAACAGAAAACGTCAGTTTAAACTTTCATGTGGGAGGGGCTGCCAAACTGAGGAGAGGTTAGCTGGCCTTTAAGCTCAGGTGGCTATGCCGGAAGCCAGCTGACGTGGTCGCCACCTTCACCTGTCGTTCTGACAGCGAGGCGGGAGACCAGGCTGCCCGCGCCCAGTGGCCTGTGCCCTGGATCCCAAGCCTGCAGGCAGGGGCACCTGAACACCTCCGGGCGAGAAGTGTGGGAAGCAGAGGGGCCGGGTGGAACCAGACGGTGGTGGTGCTTCTGCAGAGGCGGGGAGGGCACTGGGAGACTCTTGAGGGGGAGGCGGGGCTGGAGCTCAGACCAAGGCACCTGGTGGGGTCGGGGCTGCCCGGCTGCTGGAAGAGAATTTGCTTCTTCTGTCCTCGCCAGACTTCGAGGGCCAGACGGCCATGGAGCTCACACTCGGAGGGAGGGGAGGCAGAGAATGGGAGCGAACCCATGCCGGGTCTCCCCACAGCCTCCCCAGAGCTGGCGGAGAGCAAGTCCCCACCCGCCCCTAGTCTGGATGGCTCCCGAACAAGTCTGCTT